TACATCTGTGTTTAACTAATATAGTAAGCTCAATCGCTCAGAAGCTTATTTTCTCAAAAAAGCTTAAGCTTAAAGCTGTATTGATCCGAACTTAAGCTGAACTGGTTTAGCAATTTAACATTCAATGTATAATATTTTTTTTTTAATGGATGTATGGAAGATATACTTTAAAGCTATACATGTATGATTTTTTCATAACAAATAGCCCATACTTGTATGATTTCTAATACTATACATATACTAGGGAACGGTAACCGTTCTAGTCCGAAGCATAAATTTTATGTTCAATTTTTTATTGTGATTTTTTTAATGTTCAATTTTTGTGAAATGCACGTGACCAGCAACGCAGAATTTCTATTGGGTGATCAATTTGAATTGTCCCAGTATTGATTGTCCTCATGCTTCGAAACATACTATCATACATTCAAAATCATATTATACAGGTTTTCTACCCCGCTATACATGCTTGCATTCGATGGGGGAAATACCTTTAACTAATTTAAGGTTGTGGGGCAAAACCTTAATCTATAGGTAAAGTTGAAACCTCCTAGTTTTCCCGGAAATCTTATGTACGTTTTTATTTGCTTTTTTTACATTATTTACGTGCATTTGTCTAATTTAAAATTATTTAGCACAAGTTCTAAAGATTTGGAGCGTAAGGTATAAAATGCTTGGCGTTCAATTCCATTTTATTCTAAGATAGATTTCTGGGTAAAACTCGGAGGTTTCAACAGACTTCGAACCGGAACCGTTGAAACCGTTGAACCCCCATCGAAGCCGACTTTACCTAATGAGATTAAGGTTTTGCTTAATATAGTTGAAAGTATGCCTCGTCGAATACAAGCATATATAGCGGGGGTATATAGCAAACCTGTATAGTATGGTTTTGAAAATATGTATTTTCATATATTATATATAGATTTAGAAACCATACAAGTATGGACTTTTGTTATGAAAGAACCATACATGTGTAGCTTTAAAGTATACCTACCATACACCCATTAAAAAAAAAAAGAACTATACTTATACTACAGAGGGTGAATAAAAGTTTCCGGACACCTTTATAAATGCGATTTAACAAATTTTTGTCATATAATTATGATACCATATCTTCCCCAGGAACACCCTCAAAAATCCTCGGACACATGATTTTATGTACACGTGATTTGATTTATGGACAAAATCAAATTTAAAAATTCCCACGCTTCCTTTTTTTTATTTCATTTCAATATTGCTTTTTTTTTGTTCGCGTTTAATATCAACAAAACATTTTTTAAAAATATTAAAATATTTCAATAAATTTTTTTTTCTATATTGCTCTTTATTGGGATAGGATGTGTAGCTTTAGGGTATCAGGGGTATCGGAAGATGATTTGATTTTAGAATTATGAATCATAACTTCATTAAAAATGTTTCACTAGAAAAGAAAAATTTTTTCTTATAATAAATCTTAAGCACTTTTTTTTTAAAAAAAAAGTATATTTTTTGAAGTTCTCGCATTAAAGAAAAACAAGTAATGACTCTTTAAAAAGACATCAGAATATTAACTACAAGAATTCCTATTGAAATCATTATTAAATTTTATTTATGTTAATTTTTTTTCTTTATAAAAAAATGCTTCCTTATCTAATAAAAGAAAATCTGAATAATTTGTAAAAATTATTTATGCTAGATAATCTTTTGATCATTACAAACTGACTATAGTACCAATACTCCCAGGTTTTGGGGTACAATTTTGTAAATACCTAGGATATAATAATCAGTGCTCTACGGGATGGGAAAATCTTTTGCTACTAAAATTAGGAATCATCATTTCCATCGTTATAATTTATGAAACTTGTCAAATCATATTTTAATTCGCAAGAAAGTAAAATTATCTCTCATTTTTATTATCGGCTATGAAAACTTGTGTTGCTGATTCATCTAATTTAACTAAGGTAAAATGGTAAATATATCCAAGAAAAATTTTTCATTCTCATTTTATTAAAAGAATATTTGTCATCATTGAAATTATAAGTTATAAATTCTTTAAAGTGAAATTTGACAAATCATATAGAACCATTGCAATAGAAGGGTGAAAACTTTCGGAAAAAATCAATTTACTTGTATATGATTTTTACATCAAAATATGTTCAGATTTAGCATTAACTCATTTTTTATTTTTTCAGCCGTTTCCCCTTTTCTATTGCAAAGGTCCCATATTATAATTCATAACATTGTTGAGAATCAAATCTTGGGTTGCTGATTCTTCTAATTGATCTAAAGTGAAATATGGGAAATTATATTCAAATTCGAAAGGAATATTATCAGTAGTAAATTCTTCATTCTCGTTTTTTTTAGGGGAAATACAAGATGGATATTTGTCAACATTGGAATTATGTGTTGTAAATTCTTCTAAAGTGAAATTTGATAAATCATATTCTAATTCGTAAGGAATATTGTTGAGAATTAAACTTTCATTCTCATGATTATTATAGCCATTTAAATTTTGAGTTACTGATTCTTCTATTTCATCTAAAGTGAAATTTGGCAAATTACATTCTAATTCGAAAGGAACATTATCAATAGGTAAGTCTTCATTCTCGTTTTTTTAAGGGAAGTACAAGATGGATATTTGTCAACATTAGAATTTTTTATTGTAAATTTTCCTAATTTTTCTAAATCTTGTAAAGTGAAATTTGATAAATCGTATTCTATTTCGCAAGGAACATTGTTAAGAGTAAATTTTGCGTTATACAGTGGTGTGCAAAAAAAATGACAATTTTTTTTGAAAAAAGATCGATAAGTGTAACTAGCCCAATTTTGGTCGTACATACATAAATAAATATGCAAATGAAAGCCCTATGATTACTCTATCGCCTCCAAACGAAACTTTTCTCATACGTTAGTAA